ACATTATGTAATACGGGCATACATTGAAACTAATTACGTAACTTTGTTTTCCGTTTTAACAATGAAATTACTATATTATCTAGCAGAACGTGGACCACCGTGTACATCGATGCATAGGGACCATCACCACCACCACCACCACCACGTTGATTTTGTAATTTAATTTCGAAATTCTGCCCCGGGCTAGGATACTCTAGGAGAAGGATAGCAGGGAAGAGGGCTGTGTTTCTACGCGGAAAATCGGTAAAGCGGAGTGTATCCTAAGATTCCGTGCAAAATTTTCCCTCGCCGAATAATAAGCAAAACTTTTGGAAATTTAAACATACGCGTATAATCGAGGGAGATTCGCTACATCCTCGCTATTGTTTCCGAGTCAAGCGAGTGAATCGTCGGAAAGAGTATTCGTCCTTTCCTTCGTTATTCGATCTCGTTCGCGATTTTTTGAATTGTTGAACAGAAAGAAATTCGTTTCAATCCTTGTAACGATTCGCGGATTACGATTCTCTTTGTACGAGACGATTTTACCGTACGGAAAAAACGAGTGTTTTACGGATTTCCTTTTTTTTTTTTTGAAAAAGAACGAAAGGTCAACGATTCCGTTGCAAAAAAAGGAAAAAAAAAAGAAGGGAGAGGATCGTTAATTGTTTTTATTTTCACGTGACGCGAAATTGTCCATCAACGTTGATATCGATATCAGCATACATCGCGTGTCTTCCCTCTAGGATTAAATGAGCGACGGTAACGTAACGTTCTAGTTTTAATCGAAGCATTTCGTACACCGTATCCCGCTTATCCGAAACGGGACGTGCTTTTTCGATAATGGTCAATTTCGTTTTTCGTAATGATCGATAAATGCTCTGCAATCTCGCTATAATTATCGCTAGAAGGATGTGCTTCCCTCGGATTACAATTTTCTACCGTGAATCGCAATATTTCTTTCAATTGGAAACAGAAGTTGTCTTCTTCTTTTTTCTTTTCGAATGAAAACCAAGGGGACGATTTTCTTTTTGGAATCTCTTCTGGAATAACAATCTTATTTTTATTACGTAATGTATCGTATCCTTTCGAATTTGGAACGTTTCTTGAAATTTTTGCTCTACGATCGAAAGTTTAGGGGAAAATTAAAGAGTTGTCTGTTTAGGAAATTCAATATCAAACTGCTGTTGAGCAATTTGGAACTCGAAATTTTTGCTCTGCACTCGAAAATCGATCGTTTGGCAAAAAATTAAAGAGTTGTTTGTTTAAGAAACTCAAGATCAAACTGCTGTAATTTTTGCTTTATGATCGAAAGTTTAGGGAAAAATTAAAGAGTTGTCTGTTTAGGAAATTCAAGATCAAACTACTGTTGAGCAATTTGGAATTCTACACAAATTTTTGCTCTACACTCGACGATCGGTCGTTTGAAAGAAAATTAAAGAGTTGTCTGTTTAGGAAATTCAAGATCAAACTACTGTTGAGCAATTTGGAACTCGAAATTTTTGCTCTACACTCGAAAATCGATCGTTTGGCAGAAAATTAAAGAGTTGTCTGTTTAGGAAACTCAAGATCAAACTGCTGTAATTTTTGCTCTATACTTGATGATCGGTTGTTTAGAGGAAAATTAAAGATCTGTCTGTTTAGGAAATTCAAGATCAAACTGCTGTTGAGCAATTTAGAACTCGAAATTTTTGCTCTACACTCGAAAATCGATCGTTTGAAAGAAAATTAAAGAGTTGTCTGTTTAGGAAATTCAAGATCAAACTGCTGTTGAGCAATTTAGAACTCGAAATTTTTGCTCTGCACTCGAAAATCGATCGTTTGGAAGAAAATTAAAGAGTTGTCCGTTTAGGAAATTCAAGATCAAACTGCTGTTGAGCAATTTAGAACTCGAAATTTTTGCTCTACGATCGAAAGTTTAGGGGAAAATTAAAGAGTTGTCCGTTTAGGAAATTCAAGATCAAACTGCTGTTGAGCAATTTAGAACTCGAAATTTTTGCTCTACACTCGAAAATCGATCGTTTGAAAGAAAATTAAAGAGTTGTCTGTTTAGGAAATTCAAGATCAAACTGTTGAGCAATTTGGAACTCGAAATTTTTGCTCTAAACTCGAAGATCGGTCGTTTAGGGGAAAATTAAAGAGTTGTCCGTTTAGGAAACTCAAGGTCAAACTGCTGTTGAGCAAATTCGTTGCTAGGTACGATAGTAATTGTGGTAGTGGAGCAGTTGGCAGCTGTGGGTAACAGTAAGCTTAGTAAGGCCTAAAGTCTCAACCCCCGAGTTCATTAATTTTGTTGCCCATAACTTCGTCCTCTGTGCTGCCCCGCGTAACACTGTCCTAAAGTGAAGCTTCCTCGAGTTTCCACTCCACTAGCGGCTTTGCTCAACATTACTCGCGAATAAATTCCCAATATAATAGATCCTAGTGAGAAGCCTAGAATTCCAAATTCTCGCACCGCCGGTTTCGAAGCGCACAGCTTTGCCATTAACGTCGTTATTGCCTGCGTATAAACAAAACACCAGATTCATTGGGGTTCCTGAAATCCCTTCATTTGACTAATTTTCCTGTTCACAGCATTGTTTTCGACGTTGGTCGCGGATTACAACGATTACGACAGTAGGCCTTAAAATCCCCTCTACCAATTTCACTGTCCATTAACATCGACCTCAGCATGCCCCACAAAGCCTAAAATCTCAAGTCTATATATATATATGTTCCACTAATTTCGCCAATTAATTTTGTTATCGACTAACACATAGATTCAACGAAAATCTTTTCGCTCTACCAATTTCCATTGTTACAATATTTTCAGCATAATAACGTCATCATTATTAGCAATATGATAATAGCAATATGATAGGTTCGGTGTAAAATCTCAAGCTATCGTCCTTAGCTTTGCTTTTGACAAGAGAAGAATTCTGAAAGCAACGTATAATCTTCTTGTTAAGTATCCTCTTCTCGTATTTTTCCCCAACTCTTCACTACCCATAAAATGTAAAATTGGGCATGGACGATATTTTAATCCCTGTGATTAAGATAAACAGCATCGATGTTATTAAGTTTGACGAAAAGTAAGGAAAGAAAAAGCGCAGGCAAGGGCCACGATTTCGAATAATAACGATCCATCTTCGTTAACCGGAAATATAATTTTGGCAATTGGATTTCATCGATCGGTCGGGTCGGGTTATTTCGAAATATAGGCAATGCGTTACGGTGATGGACATAGAATTGTTCGTAGCTCTGATGCGTTCCCTGTACAATGGGCAAAGAGCAGATTACCAAGGACCGATCGGTCTATGCCATTGCGAGAACGATCGATCACGGTGAATTTTTGTCCCTCGCTTTTCCGCTCTTGTTGTTGCCTTTCGATCGAAATCGACGGAATATCGGTTAATCGCCAACTATCGCTTTGAATTTAATTAATCGAATGAAAGTGTGCTTCCGCTTTTGGCGAAAACAACGCAAAAGACCAACGATCGGGATCGTCATGGTTTTTCGAACGTTCGTTCGAAAGAATAATTTTAAATTGGCTAGGGGTTATTATTATTCTGGTTCCATGTCATAGATATCGTAACAACAATTTCGTCTTCTCTATCCAATCATCCCATGTTTGCTTTTATTATTGCTAGAATTATTATAGAGCTATGTAACTGATAATTGAGATGGAGGAAACAAAATTGAAAATTGATTGAAAACTAGGAAGGAATTAATTAAATTGGATTGGAAATTTTTTCTTTTTTTTTTTTTTTTTAATTCAAAATTTAATAAAAAGGATGATAGGATAACTATTTTA